AAAAGTAATATTTTTTAAATTTGTACTCTAATAGAAATATATAAAAATGTGTTATAAAATAATGATAAAAATCTCTATTTTTTTATATAAGTATTTTACGAATTCAAAAATATTTATGTGAAGTTATATTGAGATGTAAACATTAATTGTTCAGTAAATAAACAAAATATTTATTTGTTATAAATAATTGATGAATCTCAATGAAACTTTACACAAATCATTTCTAGTACTAAAATATTTATATCAAAAAATTTAGATTTTTGTTATTATTTTTTAAATTTTTATAATATTAGTTTTATAAATAAAACTAATATTAAATAAAATCAATAATCTATAAAAATGTGTTGCTCAATAAAAACAGAATGTTATGAACATAATTTTCACATGTAGTTTGCTTAAAGCATTAATTATTAATATATATGTTTTATGCTCCTTAATTCTTACCTGTTAAATTTTGAAGGCCGGAAGTCCAAAAATTATAATAAATTGAATATCGTTGAACTTTGTCCCTGATTTTTATTTACGTAAAGATGCCATTTCATGTAGCTAATAAAAACTACTTTATCTTCATCAATTTTAAATTATACAGCGAAGTTGTTTAGGTTATGCTCCAAGTTCGATAATGTTCAATTAATAGCGAAACATCACTGAAATACATGTCATGTTCATAGAATATTTTCCAAAATTAATTTTGGGAGCGACGCAAAGAAAAAATCATGTTCGCTGCGATTTTTGAAAATGAGTATTACCTACAATAATAAGTATCAAGATATATTTCAACGATTGGAGGAGAGCCAAAACATAAAATTGGCCCATTTCACATTATGAATTTTTTGATATTTTTAATCATTATGTTTGGTCATCTACGATTCTATGAATTATTTATACTCGAAAAATTTGTTATACAAGGATATGTATAATATAACATAAATATTTATAAACATTCATACTTATATATGTCCTTCTTTCTTTTTGTAAAATTATTTTTAAAAAATGTATGGACATATATAATTATATATGAATATTTATGTATATTTATATATAATATATATATTTATACATATTCATGCATAAAAAATTTTTTATCGGATAAGAGGACCGAGAAATTCTTTGCTGTGGAACATAAATTAAAATAACACACATGACATCATTAAATTGGAAAAATCGGTATCTATTTGTATATTCATACATTATTAATTACTATTTAAACTATTACTAATTAATTATATTAATTTTATTTATATCTTTATTGTGTTCTTTTCCTATCATATTTCTATCATATTTTATCATATAATTATATTATATCAAGATTTAAAGTTTAAGCAGCATATACATATTAGGTGTTGGAATTAATTCGTAGCGTTTTTTAATGAAAGAATGTTATTTATTTCACATGAGCATTAAAAAATACATTAATGAAAGTACTTCCCATCACTTGTAAAACGCTACGAATTAATTCCAACACCTAATATATTACTAACATTTTTTAAGGAGTCATCCGTTACATCTTTTTTCTCTCGTACGTCATCAAAGGCGCAGTCTCGTCACATGTTCTAGCTTTTCAGCCAACACAGCCAAAACCTTACTGTTTCAAAACATTTGATTTATTAATCAGAAGAAAGAATTTTATTATAATTGATAAAAAAAAATGCTTCAAAGCAAATTAGCAATTGTAGCATACGACGAATTGTAGCATGACATTTACCGAACCTATAATCTATATCTCTCTGCACCTCAATAAAGCTATTTTTATTATTATTATTATTAATTTGTAATTTCTCAACGAATATAATATGATATACACAACAATTTTACTTGTTAAGTAGGAAAAATTATAACATTGATATACGTAATGTTATTGACAGTTTGTGTTCTGCAGATTTCTCGGTAATTTTGTGCCAAAATCAAGCGCTTGAAATAATAAGTTATTAGTCAGTATATTCCTATAAAATGTCAATCAACAGTGACATCTGCTGCATCTAGAGTACAATAATTTATTAAAGTAAAATAATATTGTATGTATATGTTATACATATTTATACATTTAATGATACCAATTTCCAAGTTTGCAAAATAATAAAAATAGTAATAAAAGGGTCAGCTATGAGCAAATAATTAAATCACAAAATAAAAATTAATTTGAAATTGATTTTTTAATAAACTAATTTTTATTCTATAATGTAATTGTTCATAACTGACTTTTCTATTACTTTTTATCAGTTGGCAACGTTGCCTCATAAAAATAACTCGTTATCGTTCTTTTTGCTAAAAAGTAACTCATTATCGTTACTGATTTACAAAAGTAACTCGTTATCGTTACCATCAAAATGTAACGAATCGTTATTTCTTTTCTTGACACTAATAGAATATTATAGCGTTTTTCATTGTGGCACTTGTGCGTATTTATTGTTAGTGCACATTAAAGCCATAGTACGCAACTCTAATCTAAATGTAAAAATGAGATATCTGAGATAATATAATGTCTAAAGTATATTTTATCAAATAGCATAATAAAATGATTGAGGATTTCGTGATTTAAGGACGTTCTCCGACTGCAGTTGTGCTCAATCTAATGAGTACACATTAGTGTTCACCATTATGAAAATAATTTATTTCATATAGTATAAGATGTTCCATAAGTGTTTTTATACAAGTTTTTTTTATACAATATAGTTAATGTTCTAATAAATACAAATTATATGAAATAAAATTCTTTTTTATGGAGCTACTTACTCAATGATTTCTTAAAAATAAATACCGGAAGCAATATTCAGACAAATTTCATATTATTCCTTGTGATATCAAGTTTTGTGTCTCATTATTTCAAAAAATTGTTAAGAAAAACTTATTTACAGTGAATAAAAAGACCACTTTCGAATAAGCTTTATTGTTAGATAGGGATCCTATGTTAAATGCTACTAAATTATGTTATACTTCAACTTTAAAGTGGAATATCTCGATTTTTATTCCCGTTCCGGGTTAGTTTTAAAGCATATGTTCAGGACACTAAAACAAGCTTTTTTTGTAAGTTTCAAAAAATCTAAAGAAAATAGATTTTTCGGAGAACGTCCTTATCTCGTTTTTATATTTTTTAATTATACATCTTTACGTCGATAATACAGCGGTAGATAATACATTTAAAATGCATTAATTAACTTAATTAGTTCTGCCAATGGAAAACGCTATTATATGCAGATTCTTGCAGTAATTACAAAAAAGATGTTAACATTCTCTCTCTCTCTCTCTCTCTCTCTCTCTCTCTCTCTCTCTCTCTCTCTCAAACTGCAATATTAAAAATTGCAAAATACCCTTTTGAGAAAAAAAAAAGTCAAGGCCTAATTACATGTAATTATACACGTGTAATTATATGTAGAAAAAATATCAACATAACTTGTAGTATAGCGGAGCTCGAACGCTTCAACAGTTTTGTGTTCAGTTTTTTCTTAGTTTGTTATTAGAGCAAATCATAGTTCAGTCTCAGTTTGTCGAAAATATATTCCTATAATGAGAAAGTTGATATGCTGTTAATATTCAGTGAATGTAAAAGGAATGCATGTGAAGCTGCAATTCTGTATACCACAAGGTATCCACAGAGATATTACCTGTATGCAACAATGTTTTATAACATTGAAAAGAATTTAAGAAATTATGGAGAATTTGAAAAGGAACAAACCGTATTTAAGTACAACTGCAGACAATACTCTTATGGTCTTAGTACATTTCCATTCGTGCAATTGCTATTGAAACTGGTATCTAAGAGTAACTGATATCTATTTATCTAAGAGTTCTTCGTTCATAAGATGATAAAATAGAATCGTCATCACTCTTACAAAATGATCAAAGTACAACATTTACGTATAACTGTTTACAACGTCGTCTAAATAACATGGCTAGTTGTTGTGAAAATAATTCTGAAATATTGTATTACGGAATATCCTATGGATGAATGTAAGTTCTCAAATAATGATGTAATTAACCGTCATAATCATCACTTTGGTCGAAGGATAATCCCCATTGGTTCTGAGAACATAATTTTCAACAGAAAATTACAGTGAATGTTTGGTGTGGTCTAGTATATGGTCATCTGATTGGATCTTGCTTTTATGAACAGAATTTGACAGCCCAAGCTTACTTAAATTTTCTTAATTCTCAACTTCCAACATTGTTGCAAGTATTTCTGAATGATGATGTATAACGTATTTATTTCCAACAAGACGGTTGTCTATCTCATAACGCTCGGATTGTTGTTCAATATCTAAATTCAAAATACGGAATACGTTAATTTTGGACATTTACGGACCAATTCCTCAGTCTCCCGATTTGTCACCACTAGATTTTTTTCTATGGAGTCATTTGCAATCAATAGTCTATGCGGTATCAATTAAAAATATGGAACATTTAAAGCAGCGAATCTATAGCGTGCGAAGAAATTTACCGTGACAGCATTATAGAAGCAATGAAAATTTATTACATAGAGCAGAATTGTGCCTACAAGAAAATGGACTATAATTCGAACACTTATTGTGATATGTATACATATATGTATATACATTCTAATTACAATTAAAACTTTTACGTAAATAGAAATAAAATATAAAATAACGATAAAAGTAACTAGTGAAATCATTACCATTACTCTAAAAATATAACTACGTTACTATGAACGTTATTCAAAAGAAAATGTAACGTCGTTACTCAAGCGTTACCAAAAGAAGTAATTTGTAACGGTAACGACGATACAAATAAGGCGTTACGTCAACCCTGCTTTTTATATATCTATTTAATATTTAATTTTTAATATTATATATAAATATATATATATATATATATATATATATATATATATGTGTTATGTTAAGTGTTATGTGTTTGAATATTTTAATATTTATTATTTTTGAATATTTTTAATATTCAACATAATGTGTTATATTTTTTTATTATTTTTTTCTGTTTCTTTTTTTTTTAATGGAAAAACTTTTCTACAGCATTATAATTTCAGTTTTTATTTCTTGATAAATTAAGAAATTCCACATAAATATATAGAAAATGTATACGCGTGTATATATTGCAATGCCAGTTTAGAGTCATTTCGTTTCGCATTTCGCCCATGGGATATCCCCATCCCCCCTCGGGATCCTCGAACATATCACTGCGCAACAGTAGCTTCTAGCATGTTGTTCGAGTGCACGGCGGATGTTTGCAATCTTGAAAGTGGTTTGGAGTGCATACTTTGTATTTTGCACTTTTGCTGCCGGCATCCGGCATCCAGCACGGCACGCGATACAAGGAAGGAGAAAGAGAAGAAACGTAACAATTGCACAGTGCACAATCCACAGATTTGCGGGCTGGAGAAGGGGAAGAAGAAAAAGCTGGTATATACGACATGAGTATATGTTTCATCTCCGTTATTACGTACAATATATATATATATATATATATGTATATATATATATGCTCTACTATTACGTGATCGCAGAAAGTCCACGCAAAATACCACTGATTGACGTCAGCAGCAGACAGTTCCTCGTCCGTGCCTCTCTCTTTCTCCTCCTCTCCATCTTAAATCTCCCACTCAATCGTCGCTACCACCACCATCATCTCGGCACGACGTGACGGCATTTGACTCATCCGCTCTCGTTCTTGCTAACCTGACTTTATGCTCCAAAGGCTACGCGCGATAGTTCAACCGTCGCGCCAGGGCTGCCAGGACGGTGCAGCTAGTAACGCACGTAGCTCGACGTACGCGAACTCGACTTTCGATTGTCGACACCGAGTACACTGAGATGGCACCGGCCCTCAGCAAATTCGCCACCAGACGCACCCTGGCCGGCGCGGTCGCGGTCAGCACGCTTATCTGGATACTAAGGAACCGCAGAAGGTGGACGAGTAAAAAAACCAAGTGAGTATTGCGCGTCAATCTCCATTAACTCCATTTCGCTTCAATGAGTGTATCTTTGAGTAATGTTGAATGCTTGCAGGAACCAATGGCCTGTTAACAATGACATTCAGTATATTATCAAGGAGGTAAGAATGTAAAACAATAGGTCTTTGTTGAAGAATTCTGAACCAGCTCCGAATATCACAATTCATTGACGAGATTGGTTTAATATTGTTTCAACATTCGATGCTTTCAATCTAAACACAAGTCGACATAAATATCATTCTATCTTTCTTGGTATTCCGTTCAGTAAGTAATAAAGGATAATTGTTGAGTTAACCTCCTCACCTCCGATTATATTATAATTAAGTCTTGTTCGATTTTTTGCACAAAGTGAACGAATCTAGCACAAAAAAAGTCGCTTTGCCTCGCGAATCGAGATATTGTTATACTGATTCTACAATCGGTAATTCTAAGTCTTAGCAGGGAAGTTGATTAATAACCAATTTGTACTAATGTTCTTCTTCTTCTTCTTCTTCTTAACTTAATAGCCTCCGAAGATAGTAACGATTGATGTTGATTGGTTAACTTCATTAATTAAGCTATTTCATCGACTACAGATTCATTGTAGAATCAGCATTAAAGTTGATGGAGCTTCAGCAGGTTAGAAAATCTGTCATATTGATGCCAGACGGGATTAGACATTTTCCCGAAAAGTGGAACATTGATACCAACGAAAATTTCTAAACGACAATTTTAATTTCTATAAATTGCTAATATTGTACAACTAGTCATATGCAGAGTTGGACTGCGAATAGCTTCTTAGTAATCATAAATCAGAAGTCAGAGATTAAAAATTGATCAATCACAGTCGTCAATTTTTAGATTTTGACTTCTAATTTATGATTAATGACTTATTATAGAAGGGATTCCATTATATGTATAATACGTATATAATATGATAAAACGTACGTGTGTAACACATATAACATATGATATTATACATATAAAATCATATATAAGATGTTATGTTTAATATATGTCCAACTCTGCTCATATGTGATTTTTCTTCTGCTTTAAAAATAAATTCTCTGCTTTAAAATTATAAATTATTTTCTATATAATTTTCGTTTTTATCATTTTCGATTTATAATTTGTTTTTAAAGCAGAGAATTTGTATTTTAAAATAGAGAATTTTTTTTAAAGCAAACACGTACATAATCAAACCAATTATCTGCTGTAAAAACAAAAGATATGTAATGGTATTATATAAAAATTATGCAATAATATTATGCAAGGAGTAAAAATTATATAGAAAATAATTTGTTTTTAAAGCAGAGAATTACATATGTTAAAAAAATTTTCTGAAAAACTGATAGATTTTTTGCTACTTACGTAATGCAATTAATTTATAATGTCGTAGAAAATTTATAATGTCTAGAGGTTAATACCAACATTATTTCCTCCACTTTTTGAGAAAATGTCTTATCATAGAAGGCCAAGATCATAGATAGGTCTATTTTTTGTGGCTGCACTTTCTGAATTGGTACACACTATGCAATAAGTTGAGTGAAACAAATATATGTTTGTTTTCACTTCATTTTATTGCCTGGTTCAGAATGCAGCAATAAAAAAATAGACCTCATGTAAATGAAGTTAGAATAAGATTTTTTGTTTCATAATTACACAAATTCTCGGCTTCAAAAACGGATTCTCTGCTTTAAAAATATAAATTTTCTACTTTAAAAACATAAATTATCCCTCATCTCCGATGTTGATAAAATTAGGCTGATTCGACGCGTTTTTGCACGAAATGATTGAATCTGGTTAAAAAAATGTGTCGCTCTATCCCGTGGACCGAAGTATTAATCATGAAAATTGATAATTATTCAGGTTAGGAAATCTGTCCCATCGATGGCATGTGGAGGGATGTGGAAAAAATATTTTCTCTGCTTCAATTACATAAATTCCCTGCTTCAAGAAACAAATCTCTATTGTAAAAATAAAAATTACATAGAAAATAATTTGTGTTTTTAAAGAAAAAAAATTGCATTTTTAAAGCAGAGAATTTGTGCAACCCTTTATACCGTCAATGTGACAGATTTCCTAACCTGAATAACTTTAACAATTAATATTTTGGTTCGCGAGGCAGAGCGACATTTTTTTTATCAGTTTCATTCATTTCGTGCAAAAAAAAATCGCGTCAAATGAGACTAATTTTATCAAAATTGGGAATTTGAGGAGATTAAATTCAACTATGAAAAACAATAATTATCCTAACAAAGCAGCACTTATGTCAATTTATACAAATAGAAAACATCTGTTAGCATGCATGGAAATATTAGGCCAATATTTTGTATCAATAAATTGTGCGATAAATCTTCGGATGAACTACTCCTCGTAACAAAAAATTATTATTTATTTCTTTTATAATTTTGTCTCTTGAGTGCGAATGTGATAATACAAAATGGTACTCACTCATATTTTTGCTGCTATATTGAAAAAACTGCTATATTAAAAGAGAAGTTTTTAACGATTATCTTCGAAATTGTTCATGTTACAAAAAAGTTTTAAACAAAAAATGTTTATCATCATGTTTTCTACAAAAAGGTCCCATACGTAATGAACATATACTCAATACTTTAATTGGTATATTTAAAAAACTGATAAAAACAGGCCACCCAAAGTTTGAATGACGCACCTTAACTGAATGAAAATTTAAACTCGACAATGAAGCGAGTAAAGCAAGGTCCATCCTACCTCCTCCCCTGGAGTGTTCCAAAATTTAATCCTGTCAATCCTTTATTTTTATTTAACATTCGGTGACCAACAAAGATAAAATGATACTCGGAGTTGACGGAGTTGAATTTTAGAACGCAACTCTGCCAAGGGGAGGAACGATTTTCCATGCTAACTCAGGTGAAAATTTTTCTTATAATTTTTATACGAATTGGAACATTTTTCAAAAATACTCAGAAATATTCGAAAAGTTTATATTTTCTCTCAGAATTTTTCATGCATGTGAATTCTGAAATATTTTGAGATTTCTTATCCCATAATTAAAAAAAAATATTTTAAAATTTTTTAGATTTTATAACATTTCATCAGAAATTATATTTATAAAAAATCTTAGAAATCTCTTATATTTCATAATTAACATATAAAAAAAATTTTGAGAAAAGATGTTGATTTTCTGAAAAAAAGATGTAGATTTTCTGAGAAGTGTTCCAATTCGTATAAAAAATGTGAGAAAATTATAAAATTATATAGACATTCTGGAAAATTATATAAAAAATTCCGAGAAAAATTTTCACCAAGGAAGGAAGGAAGGTTCACTCCACTCTCCCTCCCCCTCCCCCCCTCTGCTAAGGCGCACAGATTCTATAACTGTACTGTTACACATGAGTTTCGACTTTCCCTGCAAAGCAACTTCCACCCCACCTCTTTTCCTGCCAAGGAGCGAACTAGGCAGAGGGAGAGTGTGCATTAAAAAATGTTAATTAAATAAAATTTGCATTATTGGACTTTGCTTCACATTGTTGAGTTCAAATTTTCATCCATTTAATAAGACGTATTTCGTAAACTTTGTATGGTCTTTTTTGTTTTTTACAAGGACATAAGTCGTTCATTCGAAGGTTTATCTTTAATTGTGCTATTATAGGGAATATAATAAATTGAAATGAAACAAACTATATCCAAGCGGAATAAGAAGCGATAACATCAAAATGACATTAAAATTATTGAAAAGGCATTATAATTGATTGAAAAGTAACTTTTAATAATCATTTGAAATTATTTTGACATTATTTTGATGTCATAATATAAATTTGTATTCTGTTTGATTATCCGACTTATTGCACTAAGATATATATCATTTCTCTCTCTCTCTCTCTCTCTCTCTCTCTCTCTCTCTCTCTCTTAGAATTTTCTTTTGAAAAAGAACAAAACTAATATGTTTATGCAAAGATAGGCCAAGATCATACTGATTATGTATCCTCCGCAGGAAAAACCAAAGAGTCCCAAGGCACAGATCAATGCCGTCTTCTTCCGTAGGCTCTATCAATTACTTAAAATCGGTATCCCTGGTGTATTATCACCAGAGTTTGGTTTTCTACTTTTGGTGGCGACCGCCCTAATTGGCAGAACTGTGTGTGACTTGTGGCTTATCAACAAGGCTACTTTGTTAGAAACGTATGTGCAGTGTTTCTAATTATTGATGGTAAAAAATTTCATCTATCTGACGCAGAACTTTGTTATCAGGTCAATTGTCAACATGAATAATCTATTATTCAGGCGATATTTGCTCCATTTATTTGGTTTAGTACCAATGGTAAGTCGAGTTTTATTGACACAGCCTACTTGAAGATTATATATGGCATGGTAATGGAAATCTTTTTATTGCCAGAGAGAGAAAAAGACATTTTTTTTTAAATAGTTAATAATGACTACGTTCTACAAAAAAAGCAGCTTCGCAGCTGTTGCAAAATTCTTTAATATATGATTTATTTATATTTTCAAATGCAGTGAAGAATTAATAGTAATTAATTCCATTGTGTTAAAGAATTTTACAAATGTTGCAAAGCTACTTTACTAAATGCGTTTAATATGTTAATGTTCCATATATTAATTTATTGTATTAATTTAGATAGCGATCGTGAACAACACACTGAAGTATGCTTTAAGCGAAATGAAGTTAAGGTTGCGTACGAATATCACACGTAATTTAGTGGATGATTATCTTAAGTAAGTAACTGATATATATATTTCATTGTTAATTGAACTTTGTTCGGTTTAAAACAATAGTCTTACAATTAATGTATTCATTATCGATGCTTATATCTTAGCATAATATTTGACCTATTGTTGTATAGTGTTATAAGTTTCCGCTTAAATAATTTATCACAATAAATTTTACTTATATCGGAAAGATAAATGAAAATGTTATTAAGAAACTATAGTACTTAAAAATTAATTCTTGTTTTCATAGAGGCTTTACCTATTATAAAATGAGTAATCTGGATAGCCGAATCGCGAATCCGGATCAGCTGTTAACTACAGACATTGATAAATTCTGCGAAAGCTGTACAGATCTTTACAGCAATATGGCGAAGCCTCTATTGGACATTGGTCTTTACGTATACAGATTGACAACTACTCTTGGCGGACAGGTACGTGACATAAATATTTATCTCATTTATGTCTATTTCTATCAATGTAGATTAACGTTAATTTCAATTTAAATTACTCTTCATTTTTTCTCATTCTTAGGAGTAGAATATATTGGTAGAGATGGACATTAGTGATTAGCATTTTATCACTACAAAGTAATACTACGTTTTTACTCAATGCTACGTCTTTACAGACGCCACTTGTTATACTCTCGTATTTAGTGATAGCTGGTACCTGTTTGACTCATCTTCGCAAGCCTATCGGGACAATGACTGTCAAAGAGCAACGATTAGAAGGAGAATATCGTCATATCAATTCAAGGTTGATCGTTAACTCGGAAGAGATAGCGTTTTATGGAGGAAATAATAGGGAAAAATTGACGCTGTTAACTAGCTTTCATAAACTTGTGAGTGAACTTTGTTTCCGAATATTATTTCTATATATTATATATAGAATAATATTATGAATAATATTACTTATTTTTGTAATGTTTTTTTTTGTTATAGGTAACTCATCTTCGTAAATTCTTGGAATTTAAGGCTTTGATGGGCGTTGTAGATAATTATATTGGAAAATGTAAGACACGATTTATATTGTGACAAAAACTTAACAACACGTGTTCATTTAATTGCTGCTTTTACTTTCTAATATTAATCACCATATTTTCTGTCAGATTTTGCCACTATAATCGGCTTCTACGCAGTGAGCATACCTTTCTTCCAGAAGAACCATCCTATACTTTCCGGCACGCCTGATCACAGATTCAGATTGTACTATACTTACGGTCGGATGTTGGTGAAATTGGCTGAGGCGATCGGCCGATTGGTGATAGCTGGTAGGGAATTGACGCGTTTGGCGGGATTCACAGCGAGAGTCACTGAGATCAAAATAGTTCTCGACGATTTAAACGCTGGAAAATACGAGCGAACGATGATCTCAGATTACAAAGACAAAGTGATCGGTTATCCTGGTAAAGGCAAAATTGTACCACGCGACAACATCATACGGTTCGATAATGTTCCCCTAGTGACGCCGAATGGAGACGTGCTCGTCAAGGAGCTGTCCTTTGAAGTGAAATCGGGAATGAATGTACTGATTTGCGGTCCAAATGGTTGCGGCAAGAGCTCTATGTTTAGAATTCTCGGCGAAGTACATACTTTATTATCTTACCATTCTAGTTTATTGCTATTGTTTTATAATGTCTTTGCGAACTAATTTTTTCATAAACCATATCGTAATGTACTTGATTCTTTTTAATATCTTTTCTTGTTATTAAATTAGTTCTAATATGAAGAATGATAAATTAAAAATTGTTGTTGAATAATGTTTTAGCATAGTAACAGGTTTATATTTCTTATTGATTTTAATCAATTCGAATCGTAATGTTTAGCTGTGGCCGGTTTGGTCTGGAACTATTACAAAACCACCGCGTGGTAAGCTCTTCTACATTCCGCAACGTCCTTACATGACACTGGGTACATTGAGAGACCAGATCATATATCCTCACACGAAGGAAGAAATGAAGAGACGTGGTAACATTACTGATGAGGACTTGAAGAAGTTCTTAGAACTAGTACAATTAACTCATCTATTGGACAGGGAGAGTCTCGTCAACAATGAAAAAGAGGCTTGGGACGCAGTGGCTGATTGGATGGATGTCTTATCGGGTGGCGAGAAACAACGTATAGCAGTGAGTTCTTTTTTCTTTTCTTATGCCTTTTCTTAAGACTGACATTTATCATTGATTTATACACCGAGAATCATCGTATCGATGATTCTCAATTTTTTTATCGTTAATTTTGAAAGGAAGGATGCATGAAGCGATTGTACGCTAATTAATTATTAATTATTCTTAGATAATAATTTAAATGTAAGACAATAATTTAAATGTGATCACCGCGCTGCGCAATAAAGAGCGCAATGCAATAATATTTATTAAAAAGTTATGAAATAATCCGAAGTTCTAAATAATATAGTTAAAAAACGTTGACTGTGATTCAAGTCAGGAACATATAAAACAAACTTAAGACAGTAAGACATAGCAGTAAGCAAATCGGCCATCACAATAGAATTATTTTACGTTCTCTATTGTGATTAGCTGATGCGATTACTGTTACGTTTTACTGCCTTATATTTTTGTAAATGCCATAAGCTTTATACTTAAATCCACTAAAAATATATGTAAGTCGATATTAATACGTATGTACACAATCAAAGAGTACAATGTAATAATTGTAAGAAACCTCTGTATAATATAAATATTGTCTGTATAATATAAATATTGTTATAAGTATTTAAAGATCGATTCCGAAAATCGATTCTTTTTTTTTTAAGAATCGGCATCACTACTTTCGAACCTGGGCAAATTTTCGTGACTATCAATGGGGTTCGGGGATAATTGAAGAACGATGACGTTACCGACAATGAAAATTTATGATTATTATCATAATAAATATTTCGATAAATATTAAATTCGTGATTTTTTATTATATAAATGTTGTGATTTTTTATTATATAAATATGCATTATATAAATATGGCACGCAAATTTCCACAAGCGGCGACCGTTTTTAATGATACCTCGTCGGTGACTTATATGAAATATCTTAATATTTTGTTTGTATCTTATATCAATGATCTTATCGATGTTTGTTTTTACTATCTTGGATTGCATTAAAATCTTTCTTTTTCCGTTTCATTTTCACTATCTGTCAAATATATATTTACTTCATTTTCAGTACAAATGTACACTAATTCAGTTATAAAGATTATAAAGAACAGACCTTTTATTATTATTGTATTATAATTATTACTGATGAAATATGATATAATTAATACTGATAAAGCATTTTTTAATCTTAAGCTTTTGTTATTTGTAAAGATGGCTCGGCTATTTTATCATAAACCGCAATTCGCAATTCTGGACGAGTGCACGAGTGCTGTCAGCGTCGATGTCGAGGATTCCATGTACAGATACTGCAAAGAAGAGAACATCACGCTATTCACAGTCTCACATCGTCGCTCCCTTTGGAAGCATCATGAGGTATTGCTATAAATCAATTTTTTTTGTGTTGATCAAAAGATGTACTTATGTTTATTGTATAAGTTTTGTGACTTTTATGTTATTTTATCATTGCTTAATTTTCTATTTATTGCTTCTAGTACTACTTACACATGGATGGCCGCGGAAGCTACGAATTCAAGCCGATCGAGCAAGACACTTTAGAATTCGGATCGTGAATTCTTGCATTTCTTGCACACGCGGAAATGCGTCAGTACGCAAGGAATTTATCTTTCTTTTTCCTTTTACTTTACGATTATTCAACAATTCCAATAATTTTATAGACGACATTTTATCTTTTAATTAGCAATTTTTGTAAGTATAAAGTATCACGACAAAATCGATTATTAAATATTAAATCTATATATAATTGCACAGGATGCCTTTATACAGAATGTATATGTACTGTACAGAATGTATGTATTATACAAATGTAATAGTGATAAACGCGGCGTTGTCGCGATCATTTTTGGCGCTATCGTAAATTTCTTCGCGTAGATATGTAATCAAATCTGCCATGCACAAAGATATATTATATTTTTCGATTATTATTTTTCTACAAGGTAATATATTTTTGATAATATATTGTCATTGTCGAAGATACATCGAGCTTAGAACGTATATGATGTTATCATATATAAATGACGTATAATACTTTTAGATTTTCATATCCCTAAGGCATGATGGAAATATGTTAGATATATTCGTTTTCGAAACGAATTTCATACTGTTCTGCGCATAACCAGATGCGGCCATTTTAAACATTTGCATCGCGGTAACTTTGACGTGACGCAAAGTGATATTTCGCGAAAATGAGTATGTGTCAAATAAAAACGTGCACAAATAGTTTCATAAAAAAAGATGTAGAAATTTGCATTTTTTTCTAAATTATGATAAATTGTAAATCATATGAATTATTATAAATTATTAATAATTGAAATTATTAAATTTAATTAATTTATATTATTAAAATATTTAATTAAAATTATTATTTTTATTATTGCACAAGATAAAATCAAATTTATTATTATATTATAAATATGTAAAATATTATTGACATAACGTCAACTTCAAATAATCGCGGCAACATGGCAGCTTCTGGATATCACTCTTCTTATGTTCAAAATGTGCAAAAGCATACCTAATATACTTTCACTTATCGACATATAATGGGTGCTTTTCATTTGTGATGCATTCGAGGAAATACTATTAGCGCTACTTCTGTCATTCTATCTTCATTGTTTATCAGACGTAAAGCAAGGATAGAATGACACAATAGCGTCTCCGAATGCACCTTTGATGACACAAATGTCGTTGCCATTCTCTGAATGTCAACAAGGATGGAACGATACTTGTGTCAATTTGTGTCATCAAATGGAAAGCACCCAGTACTAGACGGAGCATAAAACTCTAATCACAATGCGAGGCAACAGCGATAGCGATAGCGATAGGAATAGAAGAATGCAACTTATGAGAATACATATGTCAATGCACATAGGAACACGGAATAAGACAATAGTGATAAATTTCCGACGAATTGGAATTCTGTGTCTATCGCCTCTTATAGCCTACCAATCCAGATTTTTCACTTCTATTTATATATGCTATAATCTTGAAGTGGATGGAAGAATATACTACAGTCTATATACGAAGATTGGCATTTTTTATTTATTTCATTGTGCAACGAGAGACAATTATATATCGGTTATTTCTATAGTATTCCTATTGTTATTCTTATCACTGTTGCCTCGCATTGTGTTTAGAGTTTTAGCATCGAAACCCTAAACATTTTGACAGACCTAAGCCGGTTGTTCCACTTTTTGATAAATTAAACAAGTAAACTTTACCAAAAGGTGGAACAACCGGCTCCTAGAAAGAGATAGAAGGAGGTAGAACGATGTTTGATAGAGAGAATCGAGGGAGAATGGAGCGGAGAGTGTTTCTCTTCTCTGATTTGTAGTACAACTTCCACGAATGTGCATGTGTGTATATGTACATGTATGTTCCATCACATTCCTACTATCGGCCTGTTCTTTTTGGCTAAACTTTTGCATCAATTCACCTTTCTTCCTTTTCTCTCTAGGAGGAAAGAAGAGGAAAGAAGATGAACTGCAAAAATTCAATTAAAAAAAAAACAGGCCTCATATCTGCTACTCACTTCAACTACCCTACAAATGGCGGCTTCCGGGTGAGTCCGTTCCACTCACCCTCGATTCTCTCTGATGTTAGTATCGACCAATAGGACAATAATAGAAAAAGAATTCAATATTTTGTCGCATGCTCCGTCCAGTACAATAATATGTAATAATAAGGCTTCCATCATGCCTTGAGGTATAAAACAATTGAAAAACACAAGCAATAGGAACAGAGAATAATAAATTTTAACCTATCAAAAACGTATATTCCTGAATACAGAGTTTCTGACAGAGGTTGAAATTTATTATTTCTTATTCCTATTACCTGTGCTTTTCGATTATGCATTAGACTTTACTGTAAATCATAGACTTGCATAATGGACCTTCCATTGGAGACGTAAGGATAACATTAGAGAGAGAAAGAGCAGTTGTTAATCGGATACTTTCCTTATTCAATTGTGTAATATGTGACTGAATAAGTAACAGATCATTCATGTTTCTGTTTTTTCATATGTGTCTTCAGCTGTCATGAATGCGACAGCTGAATAATCTATTATATAAGTCTATGTTGTAAATATATGCAATTTTGTAGTGCTTAGAGTTTTCCTGTGTAAATTTAATTAAAATGTTGGTGATGAAACGATTAGCAAATACTTGCCAAACAAATGATAAGGAATTAAAATCGCGAGATTTTATTAACAGTTATATCATATCGAAGAAAAAAAATGTGTGTGTGTGTGTGCGTGTGTGTGCGTGTGTGTGTGTGTACATGACAGAATTTACTGTAAAGTAAATGTTTTGTAAGAATATAATTAATCGTTATGTGTAGATCACATATGTTACACTTGGATATCTGAATTGAGCCGAAAATTATAACGATATTGCTGGACAATAGGAAGATTTTATATAATGAGGAAAGAGCAAATTAAAATCGATAAAGAATACATACAAAATAATATGGTGTAAAAATTCAAGGTGAAACATTTCCGTGAATGCGCAGTAGAGTGAATTTGGACCTGAGGTATATATGTTCTTTGGCTGAAGAAGACACTTTTGGAACTTAAAGTGAAATAAGTATATATTTGATATTAAAGCAAAAGCGAGAAAAAGTCCTAGTGTAGTGCAGAAATAAAAGTAGACCTCTTATTGGTTGTTTCTAATATATTATTTTCAGTATGACTATCGCCATTATGCGCAACGTTTCACCTTGTCTTATATATGAATATATTATAAATGCAAAATAATACTTCGACGAACTGTAATTGTGATTCTTTCTCTTCCACATATTGCATTGTAGAGTATTTCTTTTATTTAAAGTTATAACAAATGACAGTAATCACTTCCGTTGATACTTATATGTACACATCTAAATAGAGTTTAATTACTTTAATCTATTCTCTCTGTAATAACTTTACCATATTCCGAAATATTTTCTCTATTTTACAACGAATCATTTGCTATAATTGTTAAGAAAATGCACAATGGATTCGGACTTAATATATATTTATAATGAGTTCGAAATGAAATAAAAACTAAAATCAAAATATTTTCTTAGCAAAAATTTCTATGAAGTTAATATATGCAAAGATATATTTTGTGAAGAATAAAAGAGATTTTTCTAATCATGTATGTGTAAGTCATTAACAATACTGTTTGATTAAAAATTCATAAATCCTTTATTTTTAGAAGAATTTCCTAAAATGCTTAATAGACGAAAAACTTGATAATTTTGAATTCAATTTTTGAATTTTGATATTTTTGAATTCAATTTTCATTAATTTTTATAAATAAAGAGATAAAGTTATACCAGTACGAAAGATTTATTAAAATATCTTTTTAAATTTCTTTAAAACACTTCATTTATGTCAGGTAAAAATATTGTTTGGTACATGATACAAATTTTTAGTTGATACAAAAGTTGTTGATTTAGAATACTTTTTCTTTGTTTTTTTATGAATGTATCTTTTAAGATATAATACAAAGTTTTTTATTTTTATCAAATATTTTTCTAATGTTCTAATTATAGG